AGTGCCTAAAATTTTAGTACTGTATTAAGGTGGAACATGTTATTTGTAATATGATTTTTCGTATGGTTTCTTGGTGTGATAATCGTATTTATTACATTCCAAGTTATTTTTAACATTGCTTTTTATGAAAACAGTTTTTTTTTGGCATTTTTACAGATGTTTACAAAAATATCATGATAATTGCAATATGATTTTCTATTTTCAATGGAGGGTTTAGAACTTCTTATATAACAGGTGTTTTTTATTGCTAGATTTTAGAATAGCTGATGTTATCCATGAATACTTAGTTGCTTTTATTTTAACCTTGATTGAAAGGTAGAATAAAACATTTCATATGCAGTGTTGCAGTTTTGTTCGGAAAGAACCTCTGCCCAATCAGTTCTTGCCATATCAGAAATTAAAGCGGACTCATTATCAATATTATATATAAAGTAGTCATCAGATTATTTAGTCTTTAAAGTAAAATTTTGAATAATTTGAAAGATAGGTAAGTGATTGGAAATATCATAAATTAATATCCCTGAGGTGATTTTGGAGTAAATCAAATTAGTAAAAAAAAATGAGTCATGATAGGCCGAGCGGTGGTCCAAAAAATAAAGAAGGATACTGAATTTGATGCCAAGCCTGCAGTTCAGTAATGGAAAAGGAAAATTTTGCAGTTATTCTCCAGTTCAGAAACATTAGTAGAGGAGACAATGGACACTGGCCTGCTCCAAAAATCTGTTAAAAAAGGGAAACCTGCCATGTTGTCGGCCTCAAAACCAGTTAAAGACGGAGCGGAAGTTGGAAGCAGACCTGCCGGGAATGCAAGGGGCGATACTTTCTCAAGTTATTGAAGTTTAAGACAAGGTGGAGGACACTTTCTACGTCAGAGGACATAGTTAAATTCTGTTTTGTGATTTTTATTTAAAAAAAAGTTAATAATTATTTAAATTAGTTAATGACACAGAGGCACACTAGACCCTCTGTTAGAGTTCGTCAACAAGTAATCATATCGAAGACACAGTAGACCCTTCGATTAGACTTTTATGTCAATGAGTAATCAAATCGGAGGCACAGTAGACCCTTCGATTAGGCTTATTGTTATCTTAAAGAAATTTCGTTATTTATGTGTAAAGTTTATATTCGATTCAAGAGATGAATCGGGCTAAGAGGGGAGCTACGTAACAAAATTTCTCCCCAATTGTTGGAACTGCTATGTGGGGTGGTAACTCCAATTAATTAAACAGCCCTAAGCTACGTTTTGATTGACCTGTATGTTATCTACAATTTTCTTGAAAATATTAATAATTATTAACATTAACTACTGGCTTTAAAATACACTTCATTTGCATATTACTGGTTCCAAGTTTTATAAATAAAAAATACACAATAAAAGATACTATTCATACTACCGACTCCATACACTGAGTATTCATTAACGTTCATACAATTGGCTCCAACATAATCAATAGTAATCACACACTCTTTTCATAAATTTCTTTAAACATGACTGAAAGACTAGAATCTGTAGTAGTTTTATTATCAACCAGAAATAACAAAATCTTCAATTATTCTTTTATTGAACCCAACATTCACAATATTATTGTCCACAGAACGTAATGCAAGGGAATCGTACCAGCAATGTTCCATAGTAAACGCAAAAATGGCAATAAAGATCACTAACCTTGCATTGGTTTTGTTTTTTGATTCAGATTTATCTGAGTTGGTGCAACTTCTGAATCATCACTGTAGCCTTGCCTTTCACACACACCTTGTGCAAGTTCAACAAGCTTCTGTTGCCTCAAAGCATTCATCATGACTGGTACTTGGTTTGTCGATTGGTCATCAATTTTTCCATATTTTGTCTGGTAGTATGACTCAAGTTCTTCCTTGATATCTATTCGTTCAAGTTTGTTTAGAACTTCACTAATTATTTTGAGATGATTTACTTCAGCTTTCTGTCTACTTCGCCACTGTACCAACATTTCAATATAGGCGTCTACAATTGGTGGTGAAAAGTCTGATTTAAATCCATTTATTTCATGTTTCTCCATACCAAGGTAGATGCCGAAATTTGTCAAATCATTGCCATCAAGTTTGTCAGAGATAAACACCATGTCAATATCATATAAGCAACCTGTAATAGAACACATACATTTCCATTAATACTGTATAGACAAATCCTTTTAGACAGAGGCGTAGATTGGGGGGGGGGGATATATCCCCCCCAATATTTGACAAGGGGGTATGGTCCCTTGTATCAACCCCCCAATATTTTGACTATGTGCAGGATAAAATGGAGCTTTACACACTTCAAAAGACTGTCACAGAAATAATTTGCACTGTCTTATGCGCTTACAAAGATGAAAATTAGCATAATGTATTAATGTTGATAACAAAATGAATCATTTGGGTGGCCAAATCATATTTCACTGAAGGGTGTGTACGACATCAGTAATTTTATGTCAATTCCAAGAATTTTAAATCATCACCCCAATGAAAAATACTTTTCTACGCCACTGCTTTTAGAAAAGGTGTGCTCTGTCATTTAAACGGATATTCATAAAATGAACAGCAAATCTGCTTCATCAAAATATTTTCCCAATTAAAAATCATAAAGATACTAAGCGAGAGATCAGTGGTCTAATAGTGGTTATGATACCAAGATGTCATGGATTTGATTCCCACTCAAATTAATTGCAAGATTTCTCCTCACAAGTATTTGGGGATGCACTAAGTGTACAAGGAGTTCCCAACTATATTATAACAGGGGTCAAGTTTGTAGATCAAATCAATTTGAGGGGTATAGTGATCATGCGAGTGTGTAAAGTGACCAAGTTAGGAGAATATAATGTTGGAATAAATTTTATTTGCATAAAAGAGCATAAATCGTGATGCATCGGGATCGTGCTACCAATGTTTCTCACGATGTGCAAACGATAATACATTTGGAGAATAGCAGTATTTTTGTATTAGATTTTCACTAACCTTGCACAATAGATATTGAGTAACCCACATTTATGGCCTTGAATCCAGGCTACACTTAATGCACTATAGCGTTATCTGGATAGGCAAAATTACTATTTTTGATTTTTTATTTGACGACCTAGTCATTCGTCGGACGACAAGGGGTCTAGGCCTGTCCGAACGGGGGTGAGGAAATGTCCCCCACTGGCGTCAGCACTGGACCACATGACGTGATGCAAGGGATCTAATGATTCTCAGCAAGTGCAAAATGGCCACAGATTTTCTCTAACCTTGCCCTTGCGTTTGAATTTGCGGCAGATTTATCTGAGTTGGTGCAACTTCTGCCTCGTCACTGTAACCATGCTTTTCACATACACGTTGTGCAAGTACAACAAGCTGCTGTTGTCTCAAAGCATTCACCATGATTGGTACTTGTTGGCACTTTGATTGGTCATCCCTCCAAGTAACCAGCAATTCCATGATGCGGTCTTCAACCAGTCTGTTGTTTTTTGCTACCTTTTTTATATCGGTCCATTCAAGTCCAAGACGCACTCCCAGTCTCCTCCATGATTCGGGATCCAGTTTGTCACAGATGAACAGCAAATCTTGATCATTAAAACATTTTCCTAATTAGAAAACATAGATGATATGCAAGGATTAAAAAACAATTGTAACTGACATCTGTTGTTACTATGTCTTAGTTTATGTGTTAACAAAATAGAAACAAGCTGTAGGGAAAAAAAAGGGTTTCCAATACGATTTTTGAACTCCTTGAGGTACTTACCTGCTTCTTGAGTGTCAAGATTTTCATTGCCAATTTCACTCTCAAATAATTCTTCAGCTAGTTTCCTGATCTTATGTTGTTTCAGAGCAGTGCACAGCATTTTACATTGATGAATATCATTACTGAGGTTGCTCTTCCAGTAATTCATCATATGTTCAATCTTATACCTCTCACTACAACTCACCTTCATGTTTGGCTGAGGACAGAATTTCGTCGCCGAGATCACCACTGAATAATTCCCCAGCTAGACTTTTACACCCATGTTGCCTCAAAGCAGTGCACAACACTTTCAGTTGATGCGTTTCATTGTTGACATTGTTCCTCCAATACTTCATCATATTAGCGATAGCTTTTTGTGAGTCCCGCTGTTCTTCAGTCCAAAACTGTTTAACTCTAGCCCATGAAACACCTAAACGGACACCAAAACCTTTCCAGCTGTCGTTCATTTCCTCAGATACAGTCGCAATGATGGCGTCATCTACAAAACCTAAAGTAACCATGACAAAATTGAAGCATATCATATAGAAACTACTAGGCAGTACACTCCAGCCTCAATGCTTTCAAACTAATAACCATTAGTTTATATGAAATTGCCTTCAAACCTGTAGGTCTATATTAACATTCTGCCAACTTACCTTGAGTTCAGTTTTGATATGATTAACATACATTTTACTCTACAATAGACATTTGTACGTTTTTTTCGTTCAAACTTTTTGCGCTACTATAACAGTGTCTACAATGATATTATAAAAGCCAATCTGTCGAAATGTTTCTATTCTTTTAGAATTAATACTGATACAGTTACAATTTTATATATAAATATTTTTACTATTCTTGCATATTTAATACAGGCCTATTTTATTTTTGTAAATACATTAATTTCAGCCTTTGGCTGCCGTTGGTATATTTCCTTTTATACCTGAATAAATAAATATTTGTTTTAATGCGTTTTAATTTAGCGGTAAATCGTGTTTGTAAAATGTACAACTCTAACTTATACAAAATTTGTTTAATTTGTGTAACTTATCGATGGACACATTGTAATCATGGTCATAATTATTCAATGTTTTGGTTAATCAACCTACACATCTAAACCGCATTTTAACCGCATACCCATGACGAATGCCATGCCTCTTAGCATTAGAAACAGCCAAACTACGCACACTTTCAAGTAAAAAGTATAAAATTATTTTATCATGAAATAAGTTCAATGTAAACACTGTTTGTAGCTGGCTGTCATGTTGTCGCTGTGCCAAATTTCAGCCACTTTAAATTTCTGACCACTATGCACAAATCCTGAAAGTAGCTTTATCTCATTGTAATTGTATGTATATTTGTCAGTGTGAGGTAATATAAAAATTAATAAATTGAAAAACAGTATTTACCTTGCTTTAGCATGTTAGCTTTGTCTGTGTGCTGTCGTTGGTGAGCAAATAGATTGTCAAACCTATTTCTAGCACTTTTGCCTAAACGAGCAAAAAAACCTCTCCGACGGGGTTGGACTGGAAAAAAATAATTTTATATAAGTAATAACTGCTCATGAGGGGAATGGTGAAATCTATTGCCCAAAGATGATGTGAAGATCCGTAGCCTATAAGATAGGCTACAGTCTCCACATCACAAAGGGGCTAGATGTCACTGTCCCCTGAATATAGACCAGTCTATATTTGTTTTATATACCTTATACATAGATTCTACGAGACTTAAAAAAGTAAAGAAAATAGTTCACACCAAGCAGTCCATTTAATATATTATAATTATATATTATATCATATTATAATATTATATATAGGCCCCTATTGAGAGTAGAAAACCCTACATTTCCATGACAGCAATATTACTTCTTTCTTCTTTTATCAAATTATTAACCCAAACATGGATGGTATGAATAAAATATTCAACAAAGTCTACTCAAATGCAGGCTGAGATTGACAGAAGTGAGAAAAAACAAACACTAATTTTCAGGGAGCTCAAAAGCTGTTAGGTAATAAGCCCTCCCACCAAGCTATACCCTTTTCCACACAGGAGCAGATCCAGCAGGGGAGCCACGGGCCCCCGTCTCCCCATCGCCGTCAGTCCCGCCGAAAAATAAAAAAGAGAGAAAACATTGAGAAGACTTCAAATGAAGAAAGAGGGGAAAAAAGTAAGTGTACCCATGAGTTCAGTGGCGGATCCAGCAGTGGGCGAAATGAGAGCTCGTTTATTTTACCACTCACTAATTTTGAATTTTCTATTGATTGGCTAAGAATACAACGCTATATAAATCACTATAAACATCATTTATATCGCTATATAAACTCCAAAAGACAGAGACCTAATACAGAGTTTTCAGCCATTATTACAGAATGTAGTACAGAACAGCTACCGGCATCCATGATCACAGGTGTAAAGACTATGCTCTCTCTCGCGGCTGTCTGCAGGGCCACCGATCCCTAGGGGCACCATTGGTATCCCTACCCATGGTCCAGTAGTGACCTCGCTCTAATGTACCCTTGGCCAAAAAGAGTTTGTTAATACGTAACAGCACAATATGTCTCCGACATCGACTGTAGGACATATACTGTATTATAATTATCCATTTAGAGTGTGGTGCCCAGCCGGCAGGACCCCCTACATTTGTCGAAACTTTTTGAAAATGGAGGTAAATATTCAAATTCTGAATGAGTGCCATTTCCGGGCATCTAGGTGTTCCATAATCATAACTTGCTTTGCGACTCCCACGCTCGTACTCTTAAAACAAACTTTAGTCAAACTTCAAACTAGAACTTCATTTAGTCTTAGCTGCAACTTCAACTTCAATTTGTATTCACAAACAACGTAGTAGAAGTTCTAACTACGACTAAATCAAGTCTTAGTTGTAGTTCAGCTGAAGACGGCTGGCAAGCAACAACTATCAAACTAACCAATAAAAAGAGCTAATTTTAATAGCAGACGAAATTTTAGAGATCCGCGACGCCCATGAGGAGAGGGGTGTCTAAGGAAAGGGGAGCATAGCTCCCGTGGGGAGAAAGTCAACAATTTTGTCGAGGAACACTGCTTTGAAAAAGTATTTTACCATCTGCGTGTACTATTTCCGAGCGTCTTGAGGGCCTATTCTTAAAATTTGCTCACCTCAGCCCCAACCATGGGACTAAAGTGGATGTGGACTACCCCACGCCCCAACCCACCCCCTTCAGAACTGACAAGATCAGCAATTTCACTTTCCTATATTTTTGCAGTATTTTGTCTACCGCTTCCTTTACCTATTTATTCTGGTTTTGCTCTATTCTGTTGTCCTGCAAAGTGCATAGACACGAATGCTATATCCACTATACAAGTGCACAATTTACCTTCAAATAGTCTGCGGTAGCGCGTCACTTCCATTCCATTGCTTCCACATGGCAACACATCCATGTCAAATTGGCGCACAATATGCATGTGAGCGTCCCTACAATCGCAAGCAATGTACCTTGTTAATGCCACGCCCCTTGCACCGCTCTGACAAATCTTTAGTTCTCTTTCGAGGAATGTCAACACCTGTAGCAAATAGAAAACTGATCGTAAATCTACTGATGTTAATGACATGATTGATACATCATTACATTAAAAAAAACCTGATTCTTTAAGTGTTTCAAGTCATTGATAGTACCTTCTTACACACTCTCGGCGATGGTTCATCTTCCTGGGTAAGCTGAGCGGCATTGAAAATATTTCGTCTGATGATTGTTGTCTGCAAAACAAAAAAAAAGCCTCAGTCATAAACAATCTTCAGTAAAGTATCAGACATGCTATTTGATACTCAAGTGCTTGTGGTTCTGTTTTTTTAAGGGTGTGTGTGTGTGTTTTATGTGCTTGATGTTCCAACTAGCAAAATGGTATTTCTTTTATATACATACTTAATTTTTATTATTCAATAATGATGATGGTGTTGTTTATTAAGGTATTGATGATGATGGCGGTGGTATTGGTACAAATGACGACGATGATGATAATAATGATGATGGACGATAATGATAATGATGGTGTAAAAATTGCAATTAAAAATACGTAGAAGCCTTTATAGTAAAAATAGAAAAATATTAACAGAATTGCAAGAAATAGATAACAAAACTAATACTAACATTATTTAAATTATGATTAATGTATCGATTACCCGTATTGCCATATTTTTATTGTTTTAAAAAAATTAGACATTGCAAATTTCGAATATAACATTCCATTATCTACCATTATGAATAAACTTGTCATTTATATTCAAAGTAATATAAGTGGCAAAGATAAATAATATTAAATTGCACTAACTACCTTAAACATACGACGATGCTTGATTGAGGCTACACTCAAAACCACGAGGTGAAGTTCATCGATATTCACCTCCACATGCTCATAAGAGAGTTTAGGCTCATCGTCTTTTACTTGGAATCTCTCAATGAACTTAGTTACTCCACGCTGGAAAACATCGTCAGGTAGATAGTTGCCAAAATCATGAAAGATGGAAACTGCACAAATCCCGTAATCCTTAGTTTGTGTGGCATGTATTCGTTTAGGCTTCAAGCGCGAAAGAACGTAGAAAATACGTTCACCACCCTGAAAAACAGGAAACACTGTACATTAAAAATTGTCAAATATGTCAAAAAAATAAAATAAAAAAAGAAACCATTTGAAACAGATTAATGACACGCTTATGATGATTATAATTTGTTTTTATCAACTGATTAGATAAAGCATATAGCCTATTAGAACAAAGAGAAAACAGAATATATTGAAAAAAATATATACCATTGTAATGTTTTTCTCACACACCAGCCCAAACTTCTGCATGAGAGATACAAAGAAGTCAAACATCTCATCTGAAAAATTGAACTCCTTCCATAGGTGCCTTAACAGATGCTCCTCTAGGATCCCCTTGTCCAATCTCCTCCAGGCTTCTCTGTGCATTGGTTTCTGAAATATAATAATTTTGGCTCAGAATCCTGCTATGATTTTATAGTCTACAAAATATATCGCTTTTAAAAGAAGGAATAAATAAATGTAAAATTGTGTAAAGTTGAGCTTACCATAAACTTTGGATCAATAACGGTGATTATTGTTTTAAACATGTTGACTAATTTCATCACATCTAAAACAATAATATCCCTCAAGGCTTTGTCATCAGGAAAGTAAAGAATCTCACCAAGGTCGTGTAAATACTCAAGCAGCACCCTTTGAGCATCTTGTTTGACCCCACACCGCTCAACCAAAGCAATCACCTGATTAAAAAAAAACACACACACAACCACAAGTTTAATCATTTTAAAACAAGTGTAAAAAGAGATACCGGAACTTAAACGGACAAAGACGGTATATTCACAGGTCAGTGACAAGTTTATGAAATTTTCACTGGAAGATAATATTTCACAGTAAGTTCAGTGTAAGGGTGTTTTTGTCTGTTCTTCTGTGCTTGTTTCTTGTTGTTTCTGTTCTTGTTTAGTATAAGTTTAATGTTTTAATGAAATGGAATAATAATTAGACTTATATAGCGCTTAGTGCCAACAAGGCTTCTAAGCGCTTCACATTAATAACCCCTCCCTCCACTCCCTGTCATTGTATCAAGCACATATGGTACACATGGCTAAGGAGAATTCCATAATGTTGCAGCTGTAATCAGCGCATTTTGTGTTTGAGCCTACCAGGTACCCAATTGTACTCCTGGGTGGACAGAGACAAACATAGTACCTTGCCTAGGCGCAAGCGAAATGCACATGAGTGAGAGATTGAAAAGCTGACCTCAAGGTCGGAGGAACAGAACCATAACCGTTGCGCCAAATCGCTCTTTCTGTAAATAATCAAATGTCTACCTTCTTGGTTGGTAGATAGATATGCTTTACTTTCAACTTCTGGATTTCCTGTAGAACAAGCAACCATTTTAAAGGTAGTTTTCTAACCATCTTCTTTGCGAACTTTAATATTTGGTCCATGATGTTAGAAGCGTTGCTCTTGGCAAATGGTAAGCTGTTCTCAATAGCAAAGAAAGTAGGGAACACCAATGCTTCATAAGGTTTTCTTTCCAATGCTTTCCGAATTTTATTGAATATTTCTTCGGCCTACATAAAAATATATAAGTAGCAACAGTAAAAGCATAAATCACAATATCGACAAAAATAACACATTAATACGTATTATCTATGTAATTCTAACATTTGTGTATAGTTGTTCTGTATTTTTGTTGATTTTAAATGTTTTTTATCAACTGACCAATCAATCCATCAATCAGTCATTCAATTAAGTAACATAATCAATATAATATAATATAATATAATATTATGATAGGTCAATCAGTCAATCTAACTTGGATATCAATCTATATATTGACTGATCGATTTATTAAGGTGGGATGAAGGACTGATAAGCAACAATATAATACACTGTGTTTTAGAAAAGACAATAATTCAGCATTATTCAGTTGTATAATGAAGGATAACTTGCAGGTTAAAAGAACAAAGTGCATTGTTGGAAAAACTAGAACAAGAGGACCAAATATCGTTTTACTCAGCTATTCTTGTATTATGCGGAGACAAATTCAATGTCAATGTAAAACATCATATACCCAATCAGATCGCTACCGACCACAAAATGTGACATGGTTTTGCGCTAGTCATGATCTCCTGCGGCCCGATTAATTAAACCTGCCAGTCCCTTTTCCATTATTGTCTTTTTTTTCTCATTCTAGGCAGCACCACCAACGACTAAATCGAGTATGACACGCAAATTAAATTTTGTATGGCGTGCAGTTTACAATCGCAAGGTGTTTAGACAACTCCATCCGGCTCACCCCCTGAACCTCGGATAAATTGGGGTGTAATAATATAATAATAATAATAATAATAATAATATTTTAATATGCATTACCGCCGATGCTTACTTAATTTACTTTAATGGATTTTTGTATCGTAATTATAATATGTATGCCTATAATGTAGTTTAGGACAATACAACTTGGTATTAGAAGTTGCAACAGAAAAGAATTAACAATATGAATTTCCTTTAACAAAAAAACATGTTTTCGTGTCAATATTTGGCCTATTAATGTACATCATTTACATTTAATCATTTTATTATTGCTTGGGGGCTTTATCTCATGTAATTCGATAAATTTAGGCAGCATAACTTATTACCTTCAGCATTTGTTTGTCTGAGATTTGTTTATGATAATTGTTACTTTCTGTCGGATTGTTTTCTTTGTGCATGACGTAGTTGTTTACCTTTCTTTTCTTTTCCTCTTCATTCCCTTCGAGGCTGCCTAAGTGCGTACCAATCACTAGTACTGGCGGTGAATGTTGCCCATCATCCAATTCTGAATCTCTACTGTTGGTGTAAACTGAACGAATCCAGTACAGAATGAACTGAAGATATGTCATTCGATGTTGATACATTTCACCCTGAAATCAATAATAAAATATCACACTATAAATAATATATTCTGAGTCGAAACTTGCTAAGAGATAAATATTAAGACGTAATAATGCTTACGGTAGTCGGATCCCTGACATTAGCGGGAGCGTCAAGATCATCTTCTAGGTTAAATACCACACAAACGACGGCAAAAGATACCATGAAAATCTACAAGAAAATTATTCATAATTACTTTTTACTATCGAAAACTGAATGAAATAACTAAAAAATGTTTGTAATTTAATAATAATATTAATTTTGTTTAATTTATTATTTACT